TTATTTCCTCTTCCTCATCCTTGTTCGGTGCTTTTTCAGTTGGGCTTTCATGTCACTTCTGGATTTTCTCCAGTCTTTTTGCTTGTTTGTTTTGTTTTCGAATTTCACTAAGCTTTTTCTTAATTTTTCACAACTTTGTGTTTCTGATCATCAAAGATGATTGATACCCTTTTCAAAAGATCAAGAGATCTCTTTAAGAGGGCCCAGTATTAAAGACAATCTCTTATTACCTCCCCAAGTCTTTTACTTTTATTTAAAAAATGTAAATAGTTTAGAGTTCTATAGATTTTATAATATAAAATACTAGGTGCTTCTGTAGGGTCATAGGTCAGACCCTAGTCACTTTTAGGAGGTTGGGGGGTGTGTTTCTTAAGACATAGTCCATGATTTTGCTAACACGCTTGTTGAACTTCGAACAGATATCCAACACTAATATTTTTTACTTTACTTTAAAGCAACCAACCTCCTGGACTGGTTAGTTACTCTTCATGAGAAATTTTCAGGCAATATTTATTAATAAATTTAACTGTGGATTCACTATAGATTTGTTCAGAAGCAGAATACAGAATAATGTAAGTTCCACAGAGCAAAGATGCAAGGATCTTTTTTTTTCCCCTGGTTTTGAGCACATATATAATATCCCAAGCACCAAAAATGTATTTAGCCCATAAAGGTATTTAATAATTATTTGCGGAATGAATGATAAAATCTAGTCGTCTTAAAGTTTTGCTCTGGGGCTGGCAGGCAGCACAGTGGTTGGGGCACTGAACTCCCATGTGGCCAAGCACAATTTGAGTCCTGAACCTGGTGGCTTGCTTTCTCACCTTCCCTTTCTTTCTCTGGTCAAATTAAAAATAATAATAATAATAATAATAATAATAATAATAATAATAATAATAATAATAATAATAATAATAATAATAATAATAATAATAATAATAATAATAATAATAATAATAATAATAATAATAATAATAATAATAATAATAATAATAAAAATATCAAATGAAATAAATAATTCTTTAAAAAATAAAATAAAATAAAATAACATTTTGCTCTATAGCTCTGTAAAGGTGATTTCATAAACAAGCAACCTACAGTGCCTTGTAAACCTCTTTGTAACTGAAGTGTAGGCCTTAAATCTTGAACCATGCACGTTGAGTAACCCAAACATGTTTTTCTGAATGCATTTCCTTACAAAGAAGATTCTAGGCTTGTATGTCTTTCCCGTTACTTATTCCTTTTGCTTTAGTATCTTGGTTTGAAAAGACTTAAAAGTGTCATTGTCTACTTTCTCTTTCCAATAATTTATTAAAAAAAATCCAGAATGAAACTTCTCCCAGTTCACATCTGTATGAAAAAACAAATATTTATGCTCATCCAGAAACATGTCTATTATCCCTCGGCTTTAATTGTTCAGTGGTTGTCTCCTCACCTGTAAGGCTAGGGGGAAAGTTTCTACCTCAGGAAGGCCCTCTACAGATTGAATGAGATGAGGTGTATGGTATCGAGAACTGTGCCTGGCATGGCTTCATAAACACCGCATAACCATGACCAGCCTGGCTAGGTAGTCGGGATGTTTGTACATGTTTCAGCAGGTGTCTGCTAAGTGAAGGTGATGCCATTTCTTTGGTAAGAAAGCCACTGTTTCCCATCCATCCTGTCACAGCTCATAAAAATGATGCCGCCTCACCCAACGACTGGTCCCTGTTTTATTGCATCATGATATCTGGCCTCTATACATGATCTGTGAAATGCCAGCTATATGCGAGACTCACTTTTGCTGTCAAGTATTTTAACTTATCCAGTTTTAGGATTCTTCTTCTAGCCTTTGTACAGCTGCATTTCTGCTAGAGTGGCTTTTATGTCAGTCCTAAAAGGAAGATGTATGAAGAACAAAAACCAATTTTTTTTTTTTTGAGAGATTTTCACTGTAGGGCGCGTGCGCTCGCCAGACAGACAGAGAGAGACATAGAGACAGAAAGCGAGAAATCACCCCCCAGGGGTGATGGTCACGCCGCAATCCCTTCTCCTCCATTCTCCTCTCGGGATCTTGGGCACGCACGCACACGCGCCCGGCGTGAGTTTTAAGCCACCGGGTCCGGGACACGAACCGCGGTCGACTACGTGGGAGTCCAGCGACATAGCCATTACGCTAACTGCTGGTTCCCAACAAAAACCAATTTTGTATCAAATTGCTGTTTTACTTCGCTGGTCTCTCACATAATCGTGACCCTTGACAATTTGATGAATCCAAAGGTTTGGTATTTTGTAATAAAGAGAACCCAGTGTTTTTGCCATTTCACCAAGGAATAAAAGAGTCTTTCTCTATACTTACAAAAAGAATCAAGGTTCATAATACTCTCCTTTTATAGCTTCTACATCCCAAAATAATACTGTGATAACATTGATTATAAACCATGTGATGTTTTTTGATGTCAAGGGTCCTAAAAATTTTTTTTGTAGAGGTTTTTGCTATAGGGCGCATGCACTCGCCAGACAGAGAGAGACAGAGAGACAGAAAGCGAGAAATCACCCCCCAGGGGGTATGGCCATGCCACAATCCCTTCTCCTCAATTCTCCTCTCAGGATCTTGGGCATGCATGCACACACGCCTGGCGTGAGTTTAAGACACCGGATCCGGGACTTGAACCACGGTCAACTACATGGGAGTCCAGCAACATAGCCATTACACTAACTACTGGTCCCAGGTCCTAACATTTTGTTTTTAAAAAGTATTTAGTTAAAAAATATCTTCTTGGGAACCAGCAGTTGGAGTAATGGCTATGTCGCTGGACTGCCACGTAGTCGACCGCGGTTTGCGTCCCGGACCCGGTGGCTTAAAACTCACACCGGGCGCGTGTGCGTGCGTGCCCAAGATCTCAAGAGGAGAATGGAGGAGAAGGGATTGCGGTGTGACCATCCCCCCAGGGGGGTGATTTCTCGCTTTCTGTCTCTATGTCTCTCTCTGCCTGTCTGGCGAGTGCACGCGCCCTATAGTAAAAACCTCTAAAAAAAAAATATTCTTCACTGTATATTGCTTTCTTCTGGAATCTCATCAAAATCATGGGACTGTAAGTGGCTGATTTTGAAGGTCAGTGGGCCTTTTGCTAAGGGTTTTAAAGAAATATTTGTTGAGTTAAATGCATTTTATTCTACCATGCATGGATATTCATACTGAACAATATTTCCAAAGTCATACTTCTCTAAACTGATTTGAACAGAGCTTATGTGTTTATTGTGAGAAGCCCAACGAGAGGCGAAATGTCAGGAAAGGTGAAGCTATTCAAAGTTCAGGGCCTTATTTGTTTCTGTTGTGCTCTTTACAACTCTGACCTAAAACATCAAGATGATTCTATTTTGTTTCATTTTCTAGAAGCTGTAGGCTAGAACAGACCATCAAAGTAATTTGATTCATACATTTGATTCCTCCACATCCTTTAAAAAACAAAGGCCAAAAAACCACTAAATGATCATAGTTGCTTTGGTTTACACTTATTTTACCAATCCCAAGGAAGATTTATCAGCCTATATCAGTTCAGGCTATGTAATGAAATGCTTATTTCATTTTTATAAAATAATTCCAGTATTGGGCATGAGATAATTTAAGTATTGAAGTATATCTTATTTTATTTCACTGTAGTACTTTAAGTATGTCTTTCACTTTTAAGATAATAGCAAACTTGTCAAAATTTCTAAGAAGTGTATGAAGATTTAGTTTGTCCTAGACCATTTGGAGTAAGATAGCGCTGGATGATTTAACATGTGTTTCCCACAAACAAGGACATTTTCCAATATAACACAAGATAGTCATCATGATTAGTAAGTGAACATTGACACAGTGTTGCAATTTAATCCTCAGACCACATTCAATATTCCCACTTATAAATCCTTCACAAAAAAAGAATCCAGCTCAGGATCATAAGCTACTTTTGGATTTCATGATTTCTAGTCTCCTGCAATCTGGGTCTTTCAGTCTTTGCTTGACTTTTAGGACTTGACACTTTCAATTATAGGCTAGGTAGTCTAGAAACCACCTCTCAATTTGTTTTTAGCCAATGTTTTCTCATCATTCAATTCCGTGTATGTATTTTGCTGGGAATACCACAGGTGTGAAGCTATCTTTTTAATGTATCCTAGCGTATGATCATAGTTAGGATTTTTCTCTTAAAGGTGAATTTAACCCAGCTCGTTTGATTAAGGTGATGAGATTCTCAAATTAAAGCTATTTTTTTTTTTTAGTATTCACTGAGCATTGGGAGGAGTAAGAAGTACTAAACAATCATTTAAATAATCCATTTCTCAACAAAATTTCAGCCTCTGTTTTAAAATCCATTTTATTTCTTGCTTGAATGATTACTATCTTGGTTGCCATGTAGTCATTTTCTAATACCATCATTTCCTCAGCATTTATGTATTGGGAGGCATCTCAACATACAGACTTTTTTTTCTTATCCCCATTCGTGTTTATTTTATCAGCACATATTAATGATTCCTATTTTGTTTTATAAACTAGAATGCATTCTTATCGTTATTTCTCTTGATGTTGCAAGTGTTCCATATTTAATTCATGCTTCGAATACTTCCTAAGTTTTGGCATGAAAAGCAATTCTAGACCCATCAACTTCACATTCATACAAACAGTCTAAAAGGAGTCAAAAGAATATAGATTATTACAATCTTTGATCAAATCAAGTGATATGACAATATCTTTTCTCATCTCTGTGACTAATATATTCCCAGTCCTGTCATCTGACTGTAAAGCACAGGCCACTTTTTGTCATATCTTTGCCCTAACTTTGTCACAGGTGACTAAAAACAATGCGAATCGAATCATGATTAGCTACTTGAAGTGTAGAATAATCCTATGTATTTAAGGAGAATTGTTTCCGAAAAACTTCTACAGGGCATATAGGAGGAAAGCTATTTGATGTAAGTCTATTATATAAGTGTCCAAAAATCATTGGGACTTAAAAAAAGTTATTAAACAAGAAATAGTTGTGCTCACTTTGGCAGCACATATACTAAAATTAGAATTATGCAGAGAAAATTGGCATGGCCTTTGCAAGGATGACATGCGAATTTGTGGAGTGTTTCATATTTTTAAAAAGAAATATAAAAGAAATCCTATGTATTGAAATTTTAAAAATAAAGAAATGAGCTGCAATTGTTACTCAAATGCACACCACACGTTTTCTGTCTTTCTGCCTCTCAGTCAGAAACTATCCTCTACTTGGACTGGATGCAGAGTGCCCTCTAGAGGAAGCATGAGGTCAATGCAATATTCCCAACAGTGAGTGATCATATTCCAAGTTCTGTAGATTTTTATAGTTCTCATTAAATGCATAACATTACCCTACACAGAATCATAACTAATCATTATTAGATTCAGCATACTTTGTGCCATCTCTAACAAAACTGATGCAAGATAACTGATAAAAAGGGGCGTGCATTTATCAACCAGGTTAAAGGATTGGGAACGTGTCATTAGAGATGAGAAAAGACAGTAAGTTGTTGTATGTCAATTTGTGACCTTTAGTAAAAAGTTATGAAATTCCCCAAAGATTCATGCTGAAGAAAGCACCTTCAATAATTTATCCCGTTATTTCTTTAACATCCATAGGTGTAGATTAAGACTGACAAATGGTCTCACCTGTTAGTCTTCACTTGTCTCTGTAACTTCTTTGTTTATGCAACACAACCCTAAAACATCTGGTGATGAAAATAAGCATTGTAATCATGCCTTGAAATAAATTTGCAAAACAGATGTGAGCAAATTCATTTAAACTGATGTTCCAAATAAGTATTATTTAATGATTAACAACATAGCTAAAATATTTCTATTGTAAAATTTTATACAATTCTCAAGCATATAGTATCTAAATAACTTAATACCTTAAATATAGTCATGAAAAACATATTGTTCTTATCGTCTGTGCTATAATTTTTAAAATCTGAATAAAATTATTTTATCTATGGCTTTTTTCCTTAAAGAAAAAAATCCTTTCAAATATTTGTCTGAGTGAAATTCAGCAGTAACAATATTAGCTTGGGTTATGAAAATAACTTTAAGATAGTGATTTTTTTTTTGAGAGGTTTTTACTATAGGGTGTGTGCGCTTGCCAGAAAGACAGAGAGAGATGGAGAGACAGAAAGCAAGAAATCACCCCCTCCAAGGGGGGATGGCCATGCCACAATCCCTTCTCCTCCATTCTCCTCTCAGGATCTTGGGCACGCACACACACACGCCCAGCGTGAGTTTAAGCCACCAGGTCCAGGACTCAAACAACGGTCGACTACATGGGAGTCCAACCATCTAGACATTATGCCAACTGCTGGTCCCAAGATAGTAAGTAATGTTTTGTTACATTATGATCATTGTTACCTAAATACCCACTCAATAAATAACAATGAGATAATAAGGACAATATTGTAATTATTATACATGACTCAAAATTTAGTCTTTCAGTCTTCCCAGAGAACTTCACACCTTGGAATTGTATACATTCACATAGAAATTTTGATAAATGAAAGGAAAACTCTACTTGACACAGGAACGTGATTGTATATTAAACCTAACATATATTCTACTTCACTTTTGCAGTTGTAGACACAACTATAAAATAGATCACTTAAATGTTTCTGTTCAAGTGCTTGTTTCCAAGAACTCTATCAAAAATACATAGTTATTGGGAACCAGCAGTTAGCGTAATGGCTATGTCGCTGGACTCCCACGCAGTCGACCGCGGTTCGTGTCCCGGACCCGGTGGCTTAAAACTCACGCCGGGCGCGTGTGCGTGCGTGTCCAAGATCCCGAGAGGAGAATGGAGGAGAAGGGATTGCGGCGTGACCATCCCCCCTGGGGGGTGATTTCTCGCTTTCTGTCTCTATGTCTCTCTCTGTCTGTCTGGCGAGCGCACGCGCCCTACAGTGAAAATCTCTCAAAAAAAATACATAATTATGCTGTGCGTGTATAACTAGTTTAATTTTGTTCTCTTCTGGATGTTCCTCAATATCATCATCATCTTATTATTATTATTATTATTATTATTATTATTATTAGGGATATTTGCATGTGCTCACCATAGAGAGAAAGAGATTGAGAGAGAGAGAGAGACAGTGAGAGGGAAAGTGAGAAATCATCCCCAGGGGGGATGGCCATGTTGCAATCCCTTCTCCAATTCTCCTCCCGGGATCTTGGGCATGTGTGCACATGTGCCTGTTGTGAGTTTGAAGCCACTGGGTCTGGATCCAAACCACGGTCTGACACGTAGGAATCCAGTGACATAACTGCTATGCCATGTGCTGGTCCCTCATCAATGTCTTATACGAGTATATCTCACTGCAGAACAAAGTTCTCTTGACCTAAATATAGAGGCTTACTTAACCTCGTTCACCATGTTGGTTAGCAATTATGTTTGGTATTATCTGAATCTTCAAAATAATTCACTTTTAAATGTCTGCTTCTCCAAGGAGATGGGATTTTAAATAAATATGAAACCAACCTTGATGAGGTATGTCATTAAAAAACAATAAAAATAATAATGATAATAAAAGCACCAAGAAATCCTTCCCATATTGACCAATACAACTGTTCATCTATATTCTTCCTGCGTCCTGGTCAGAGAGAAAGCTGTGTAATTTTCAACTTCCTAATAAATAGAAGGGAGAGCAGCAGTGCGTGCCTCCTTCTTAGTTTTTCTCTTTTTTTTCTCTAACCGGGGTTCCTGCTTCCAGGAGTAGAGGCACTCACAGCTTAGCAAATCTGGCTTTTCTGGGCTTCCCCATTCCATGAGATCTACTGTAGCATTATTTTTCTCGCTCAAAGAGTTTGTTAGGAGAGGCTTGCCTTCAGTTTAGGTTTGCAGTTCTCAAGTATCAACCTGACCAGAGGTTTAAGTGATCAGGAAGGACATTGGAACTCCAAACTACCTCTCAGCTCTGCTCACCGATGCCTGAAACTTTATGGCTCCTAGCGGACAGGTGTTTCCCTGCTAGGACTCTCAGAGCTGGTCAGGCTTTGTCAGCTCCTTTCCCACAGGCAGATTTACTGAGACTGAGAAGGAAAAAAATAATATAGATAGCATATATAGAATTTGAAGAGGACAGGGGAGGAGTCTGCCAGGACTTCTTAAAAAAAAAAAAAAATGTTGCCAGCCTGTATGTGCACTCTCCAAGGGAGAGAGAAAGAAGAACCTTCATGGGGCATGCACGTGCTTCAATCCCTTCTCCTCCATTTCTCTCTCCTTTCAGGATTCTGGGCAAATGTGTACATGCGCCCAGTACGTTTTTCAAGCTACTGGGTGAACCACACAGCCAGCCGTGTGGGATCCAGCTGCCTTAACCACCATGCCACAGGCTGGCCCAGGGCAGAACTTTTTAACAGAAGCACTTCATCTTTCTATTTCACCTCATATTTGTTGACTTCAGATCTAATTATTCTGGATGACTTGTTCTCTCATCAAATATTTAACAGTCTCTATGAAGTTCTGGAAATACAGTATAAGTACCTAGCCCTGTCTCTGCTTCTAGGGAGCTTATTCTCCACAGAGAATACATGTGAGTTAATGGGCAAATATACTAAGTTGCCTAATGAGGGAAATACAGGTTGCTATGGAAATACCTAGTTGGAGCGGCTCACCCAATCGAGACTTCAGTTTTCCTCCTGCATTTAAGGAGAGAATTGGAGGATGGCTAAGATTGAGCAGGGCAAGCTATCATTCTGTTTTGTGAATTAGATTGCATTACCCCTACAGAGCAGTCCCAATAAGAAGGCCAAGTCTATT